AGCCTCCATTGTGTAGTCCTGAATCCTTGCATCAGTGCCTCTCCCTTCTTCAAGACTATGTTGACCTCCCATTAACTGATGTGAGTCAGAATCAACTCAATGGTAATGAGCTTGGGTTTGAGTTGGGAACTTATTAGTACCTGACAGTGCCTAAAGTACACGAGCTCCAGAAAGACTGACTTTGTGGGACTCTGGACCTTCCCATAAAAAGGGAGAAGAGAACTTCTGGTTGAAACCCTAATAGAGAAGGTTAGGTGGTGATTAAATCAGCTTGAGTGTTCTTTGTACAAAACCTGATGAAGACATTAAAAAACAAGACACAAAAAAACAACAACCCAGAAATGAATAGAAAGAGCCTGAGTAATTAGTCCAGACACTGGCTATCCAGACCTTAATACTTAAACTGGACACATTTAACAGATATATGGCACTCATAAGTTGCAAACTCAAAATCAAGCCCACTGCCATGGGGTTGATTCTGGCTCATATCAGTTAATGGAAGGTCAACGGGAAGTCTTGAAGAAGGCAGGGGCACAGGTGAAAGAATTCACGGGATGAAACATGTGGGTTTAGCCCAATGCAGGCTTCAAATAGAACCTACATTAAATAAATCATTCTGGGTAAAAATAGATAATTGACATATGCACAATTACCCCAAGATGAAAAAAATTTCCAGTTCAGTGTTCTTATAAAACATATTCTGCTAGAAAATGTTGTGCTATTGAGGATGAATGATTTCTTTCAGAAAGTCCATATAACGACTCTTTCTGAGGAGCCAACCAATTTAAATAGAAGCATATTTCACTTTATAGGCAAGAATTTCATTTCTGAGAACAGGCCTATGGCAGTTACATAATCTCCTGTCAACTTGAGCGAAGGGGTGGCGTTTAGTCTGTCAATCATGTTACAAGGTAACACGCACCAGCTGGATTCTGGAAGCTTCCTCTGTTTCTCCTGTGAAAAGGACCACACGCTCTCTTCTTTGTCTTCCTGCTTATAAGCTACATAGAGCTACGCTGATGGCAGCCAGAGCTTTGGAGCTGGAGGAGCCATGTGGAGCCCCATACCAGCAGAGATGCTTCCACTGCCACTGGATCCACACGACTTTCCACCCACTGACCTGTGATCTTCCTGCATTCTGCATCATTGTATGCATTATGTGAGTCTGAAGAGAAATTTATACACAGGTATTGGACACATGGGCTAATATCAGACTTATGGACTAGATCTGGACTGGGTTGGGGTGTTTTCTTAACATACAATTACTCTTCGATATAAAATTCTCTCTCACTTAAAAATTAGTGTTAATGAGTGTGTTCCTCTAACCTACCCAGACTATCACAAGGCCACTGAAAGGTAGTTACAGGAGCGGTCCTTTCCCACCCACCTGTTCTTGCTATCGCAAACAAAGCATCTTGATGTATCCATCTCCTAGTTCTTCCATGGCTTTGGTTCATTCCTTATTTATTTCTTCCTCTTTGCTCCTAATTTTATGCACTTACTTTTCAAAAGTGCCTTGGTTTTGCTAATCCTAACAACATTAAAATTTTCAACCAATAGTACTTTCCCCCATCAAGCCCTAAAATGTCCTCCTCATACCTTTTACTGACAAACTTCCATTAACAGTCTATATTCGAGTATAAGCTGACCCAAATATCAGCCAAGACACCTATCTTAATTTTACCACAAAATCTTCATTAAAAATATGCTGAAAAACTCAGCTTAAACATGAGTATACACGGCACTCTTTAGCTTTCTCATTTCTCAATAGTTCTTAGTCCAGGCCCGTCTTAACTCTACTTCTCCCCAAATCCACGCACTATATAATATATACAACAAAACGCATCCATTTTGACCATTTTCTCTTATTAATCACCCACTTTATCAATTCGCCACCATTGCTCATCCATCTTTTGGTCCTCAACTTACCCACTTTGCTTCCAGAGCCACTGTCACTTCTCTAAGCTCCCTCATCACTTTCCCCTGGACATTCAGAGTCTTTCGACAGCTCCTTTCATCCACGTGCTAGCGCCACTTCTCTTTCTGTCAACGTTCACTTACATGTCGTCTAATTATCACCCAGCTTCCTGCAGATCCACACATTCAGTCTCCACTTCTCATTTGGGTCTGGACACACATTTTCAAAGAACATTTTCATAAAACATCTCAGTATGAGGATTCTCCCAGTATGTTAAATGCACAATATCCAGAGATAAATGATTATCCTTAATGTTATTGTCCCAGAAAATACCAGGCCCAGTATTTCTTCCATGTATTAATGACATCCATGCAGACAGCTGTAGTATAAGTTTTAGAATTACTTTCACCTTGGTCTTCTTTTCCATCTTTCCTTTGGCCTTGAAGCACGTTTTCACTGCCTCTCGCTTGGTCCAACAGAGCAACTCCATATAGAGCTTTGATTTCTAGATTCTTGTTTATTCTTATCCATAATTCCATTCTCTCACTGGATTATTTCTAAATTATAGATGTCAGCATGTCTTTCCCATGCAAACAAACAAACCACCTATATCTCCACACTGAAGAGTGATACCCAAACTCCTTGGCCTACTGTAAAAGGTCCTTTCAGTCAGATTCCAAATGAGCTAAGCCTCCCTCCAAACCCACTCCAAACAAATCCTTTGGCCTTCAATCAAAGTGACTTATTTATCATTTCTTATCCTTTTCCTATATAATGCCCTACTGTTTCTCAATTACTTCTGTTTGCTTGCCCATCTTTCTGCCTGGAATGATAAACTTACCATTTCTATTATTTCTAGAAAACTTACTCTTTAGTATTTAATTATCACCTCCCCTGAAGAAATTTTTTTCTGGGTTCTGATTTCTTTCATAGGCAAACATTTTGACTATTGGTTTATTCTGAATCCCAGAACCCAGGAAGATGCATATATACATGTTTCCTTCACTTTCTCAGCTTTCCTCATCCCCAATTTCTATACCTATAATATTTGGGGTTAAAATAGTATTTGTCCATGCATATTTGCATGTTAACCCACTTGAGTTAAACTTCTAGAACATGATCTGAATCCTTGAATATTTCTGACTCTTCTATGGACATTTCCTAGCAGATGCTTGGTAGTCCATTGGTATTAGACATGAAAGGGGTGCATATGATTCTCAAGGTATAGTAGAGGCGGTGCAGCCTGTCCCCAGTGGGTGCAAGAAAGAGTGGTGACCAGGACATAAGATGATGTACATAAAATTCAGTTCTATGTTCTATTAAGTAGGAGGAATAGAGTTATGAGGCAGTATGTAGCCCTCCATGTTCTTCATGGACATACACTAGGATAACGTATTTCTTCTATTAATTAAAACAGACACCTAAGAAACAGAGACTCTCTGTATTTGTTATTTTAGTTTTCTTTCATGCTTGACATACGCATGGTTGTAACTCAGCGCTGCATATGTGATAGAGATATAGCCTCCCAATTCAGTAACTTGCACTCTGAAAATAATTTTATTTTATGGACTATAAAACTAGAAAATCTCTCTCTCTCTCTCTCTCTCTCACACACACACACACACACACAATCAGCACACCTGGTATGTGCCATCTGGATAGTTCACGCGAGAGAGAAATGGTGCTATTGCAATGAAATTCACTGAAATCTATGAGGGTTTTGGTCGGTCCTTCATTCCAATTCCGTACGTGACCCTGGAAAATCCATGTAATCTCTCAAAGTCACACCTGTTCCTCTTGAAATGATGAGGATACAAGCTAAAAACCTGTCATTCTAAACATTCTCCTGTATAGGGAACGGCGTGGAATGGCAATCTCTTTATAGATTACACATGTTGAATAGGCAGGTGTTTTTTTCTTAGTATTCAGATCCATTCAATTAAAAATCATAATCCCCCCATGGCTTTCACAACTTCTGACATGGCACAACTCCCTCTTGGTAGAAGAAGGGTGACTGCGGTGGCAAGACCCTGCTGCCCCTCCCTGCCCGCCACCTTCACCGCCACCATCATGTTCACACACGCAGCTGTTTCCACGAAAGGAGGCAGGGAGGCATTGAGAAGCAGTCTTAGGAACATCATTTAAAATATTTTAAAAACCCATTTGAAATGAATCTAAATGACAATCAGTAGCTTTTGAGTCTAGAATTGCACCATTGTTTTCTGCTCATTTTTACAGGAGAGAGAGAGAGATTGAGATTTCAGAGGAATCGTGAGAAGCCTGGCTGTTACATGCAATTCCCACCTCCTGAGTCATTCCACTCTTAGCACAGCTCATATCACATGACCAGAAATATTTTAAATGTGAACACCTTATACAATATCAACTATTTTAAAACGCCACAGACCTATCCTCACAAAAACCACGAAAAACTAAGAAAAATCTGTCTTCCCAGCAGTTAGTTTGCCTTTCGGTTCCTGCTCACACTGGTACCGAAGGTGGCTGGGAGAGGGAAGCAGGGTCTGCATATCATCCCATGTCTCTTTGATACCCACCTAAGTCTGCCATGCGCATGGGAGACGTTACTCCCACAGCCCTTCTCAAAGCTGAGCAGAAAAGGCCCGAGCCAGGACCCCCGTCGCTGGCAGGACTGTTCAAAGGTCTTGGACTCGGGGTGCTGGTGGGTCTGTGAGCCGCTATCAGAAAAGCCTGCCCGGATTTGGCAGAGCTCCTGCCATGTTAATATGCTTCACGACATCTCTGCAACGTGCCTGTCTAATAGGAGCCGTCTTTCCCTCTGAGAATAAGATCCTTCTTCACATGGAGAGCTTCACTTTTAAAAGGGAAACAAATATCCTCACAGATGGACCCCCAAAGGCCGGAAAGGCACTGAAATATTAAAATGCCGCATGTCAGTCAGAGCCCACGTCAGCCTCGAAAGCATTTTAAATGCACAGCAGATGGAATTGGAGCCTGTTCAACTCTGAATCCCCTCACAAAGCATGCGGTTTATTTTTAAAGCTGTTATTCACGGAAATCGACAATTCATCGGCAGGTCAAAAATAGAATCGTATTGGCTTACCTGAAATAAGGGAAACAGCAAAATGTAGCACGGGATCCATATGTGTTGAATGTAAGGGTGCCTCCAGCGCAGGTCTTCAGATTTGGGGTTTTTTTTCACACGAGTGGAAAGGCAAACCTCACATGGGCTCTATCCTGACAGAAGGGAAAACCAGAAAGGACGACGGCAGCATCGTCTCCGTTTCTGCCTTAGCTTTCCGTTCTGACACTCACTCGATGGTACCCACCGCCTGTGAGAAAACAGCATGCGAAATTGAAAAGAAATAAATAAATGTAAGGCTTAGAGTGCAGCTCCATCTCCTGGCCAAAAGTGGAATCACTTCCTTTCCGGTTCCTTTGGCAATGCAGCATTTGTAGGACACAATGAGAACCCACAATTACACCGGATTTGAAATCAATGATTTTAAATGAATTCAATGATCGTAAATCGAGCATCTTCAAGTAACTGTAAATGGAACATGTATGAGGACGTCATGTGAAGTTGACAATGTCATGCTACCTTGGGGAGGGCTGTGGACTGGAATAGACTCAATGACGACTTTACTTACACTATCCGCAAGCCATCCATCACTTCGTTGTGCTTGGTCACTTGTGTGTTGCTGTGATGCTAGAAGCTATGCTACAAGTACTTATTGATGATAACAGCAGCATCCAGAGGGGACAGGCTTCAGCGATGCCCCCAGACAAAGACAAAGTAGGAAGACTTGGCAACCTTCTTCCAAAAAAAGTTGACCAGCAGAAGTTAAGACTAGCAGAAGAATTGATCTAGGGCTGATCTAGTGCTGAACAATGAGATTGGTCGGAAGACACTCAAACTATGATGGGAGAGGAACTGAGTTCTCAATATAGAGTTAACCTTAAAGGCACGGATGGCATAACCCTTTGGGAATCTTGATTGGTTGGGATGACTGGGATGGTTAGGTTTTTTTGTGCCCACATGGCACCTGTAAGAAGATATGGGTGGAGTTTAGCCTGTCCATCAGGTCTCAGCCTAATGACCTCCTTTGGAGGTGCCTCTGAGATAAATGGGTCTCGCGAAGTGGGCCATTCTCTCTCTCTCTCTCTCCCTGGTAGTCGCACTAGTGTGTTGCCTGATCTAACTGCCCTGCCTCTACATGTGTGCTGTGTTACAAGTGGGCAGAGCCAACTGATGACCATGATGAGCCGAATCATTGTGCTGTGCTATTCCACACCATGGCACTGTCCCCACCTTGCCATGTCTGCTGCCTGTGGGCCGACTCCCCTCACCTGGCCACCACTACAGACACTGCATTTCCTGCCAGCTGCTTCACATCGCTACACAGTGAGGCTCCACCGCAAGCAGAGCTTTGGCTATGCTGCATTACTGGTCCCTGCTCCACCTCACCACTAATCTTCCTACTGTCTGCTTCCTTAGGCTTGGGCTGGTGGCCATGTGAGTTAGAAGGACCTTCAGTATATTAACTGTTCCATGAAACTGAGTTGGACAGAGCTCTCTGTACTGCTGATAATTTTCTGTTCTATTTCTTTTGTTGTATAAACTTATAGATGATGATGGTGATAGATGACAGACAGATAGATAATGATGATAGCTATCTAGATAATCATAAGTTTCCTGGTTTTACATCAGTAAAGATCCCTGCCTAACACAATGGCCTAATTCAAAACAAGAAGGAACAGCAGCAAACATACATTAACAAAAAAATGCATATTGTACAAAGTATGAAGCTAGGAAAATTAGAAGGTGTTACAAATGAAATGCAGTAAGTGTGAAGCTAGATCTCCTATGCACAAATGAGCTGAAATGGGCTGTCACTTGCCCTTTTGAATCAGGCAGGTATATGGTCTCCTATGCAGGAAATGAAAAGTTGAAGAGGAATGATACTGCATTCATTGTTGAAAATGACATTTAAGTCCTCATTAGGTTCTCATTTTTCCCCTCCCTCCCCGCTCCCCCCTCCCTCATGAGCCCCTGATAGTTTATAAATTGGTATTTTGTCATATCTTGCCCTGTCCAACGTCTCCCTTCACCCACTTTTCGGTTGTCTAATGCCGGGGGTTTAAGTGGAGAGAAAATGTTTTGAGAATGATGTACAAGTGCCCTTTACACAATTGATGTGAGTACTGATTGCGATAACAGTTGTATGAGCCCCTAATAAAATGTTAAAAAAAAGAAAATGACATTTAAATATCTGTCCTGAAGCACAATGATGTCACTGAGGGGATAGCATCTAGATGCCCATAAGGAACACTGGTTAAAACAACTATTATTCAAATGTCCACACCAACCACTAGTGAAAAAGTTAAAGAAATTGAAGACTTTTTCAAACTTCTGAAGTCTGAAATTGATCACATGAGCATCGTGGTAATGACTGGGAATTGGAAAGTGGTATTGAAACCAGGAAGGGTCCATAATTGGAAAATATAACCTTGGCGATAAAAACAATGTCGGGGGTCAAATGATCAAATTTTGCAAGACCGATGACCTATTCATTGGTCATAACTTTTTCAACCAAAAAAATATGATTCTATATGGACCTCACCAGATACATTGCATTTGTGCAAAGACTAGGGAGAAACTCAATATCATGAGTCAGAAGATATGGTATGTGCAAGTTCAAGTTAAAACCGAAAAAAATGTTAAACAAACCAATGATGCACCTTAACTATATCCCACCTGGACTTACGGGCCATCTCAAGAACCGACTTGATGCACTCCTTGACCACTGGGAACCAATGAAGAGAGACTGACTATCTGAGATCACATCCAGGGTATCATACACAAAGAAATAAAACTGTCATTAGAAAGACAAGATCAAAACATCAGAAGAGACTCTAAAGCTTGCTCTTGAACAGAGAATGGATAAAGTGAATGGAAAAAATGATGCACTAAAAGCAGAAGAGAAGATTTCAAAGAGTGGTAAAGAAGGCAGAATAAAGAATCCTACAGAAATGTGAAAAGACCTGGAGTTAGCAAACCGACTGAAGGAACACCTTTGAGATTCTCAGCTGGATGGCAGCAGCAAAGTGCGAGTTCCCGTATGGAAGGATTCTAGAGGCAAAGTATTGGATGATGTAGGAAGCCTCAAAAGAAGATGAAGGAACACGCAGAATCACTGTACCACAAGAGCAGCTCACATTTAACCCTGTCAGGAGGTTAAAGGATCAAGAACCAAGGATGTCAAAGGAAGGTTTCCAAACAGTACCACAGACATTGGCAAAAAACAAGCAAACAAACACAAGTCTCCGATAACAGATGGAATACTAATGGAAATGTTTCAGAGGAAAGGATGCAGCACAGGTAGTGCTCACTCGTGTGTGCCAAGAAATTTGGGAGCCCTAGAGAACTGACTGGGATAGATGTGCGCCCATTCCAAAGAAAGGTGATCCATCAGAATATAGAAATTATCAAACAATACCATCAGTACCACAGAAGTAAAAGTTTGGGAGGCGTAATTTTTAAAAAAAGAATGCAGCAGTACATTGACAGGAAATGCCATCCATTCAAGGTGAATTCAAAAGAGGATGTGAAATGGGGGATATCATTGCTAATTTCAGATGGATCTTGTCTGAAAGCAATGAATATCAGAAAGATGTTTCTTTGTATTCCATTGACTAGAAAAAGGAATTCAACTGTATGGATAACAGCAAATGATAAATACTATTGAGAAGAATGGGGATTCTAGAACACTTCATCGTGGTCACGCAGAACCTGTACACACACACCACGTAGCACCTGTACACAGACCAGGAGACAGTCCCGGGAACAGCACAAGGGTGGTTTAAAATCAGAAACTATGGACAGCAGGGTCGTACCCTTTCACCATACGTATTAAATCTGTATGCTGAGCAAATAATTCAAGAAGCTGGACTATATGAAGAATGAGACATGATGATTATTGGAAGGCTCACTAACAACCCGCTACATGCAGATGTCACAACCTTGCTTGCTGAAAGCAAAGAAGACTTCAATCACTTAGTGATGACAAGGAGTATGGATCTAGCTCAGCAAAGATAATACAAAAATCCTTACAACTGGACCAATAAGCAACATCATGACCAAAAAGCAACATCACGAAAAACAGAGAAAATATTTCATCTACTTGGATCCACCATCAATGCTCTTGAAACAGTAGTCAACAAAGCCAATGACAATTGCATTGGGAAAACCCCTTTAGAGGGTTAAATGTAAGGGTATCACTTTGAGGACCAAAGCGCACCTGATCAAGCTATGGTGCACGCAATTGCCTCATGCTTGTGAAATCTGAATCGTGAGTATTGGAGACCAAAGAAGAATTATTGCCTTTGAATAATGTTGTCAGTAAAGAATATTGAATATGTCATTGACGATCAGAAAAAAAATTTTCTTGGAAGAAATACAGCTAGAATGTTCCTTTGAAGCTAGGATGGGGCACCTTTCTCTAGTGTACTTTAAACACGTTGTCTGGGTAGACTAATTCCTGGAGAAGGATAGAAGTCGAGGGTCAGGAACAGGTAGGGAGACCCTTCATGACAGACTGACACTGTGGCTGCAGCAGTGGGCTCAGGCATAGACATGACTGTGAGAGTGGTATAGAACCGGACAGTGTTTTGTTCTATTGACTATAGGATCACAATGAGTTGGAATTGATTGGACAGCACCTAGTAACAACAATAATTTCATTGTATTTTTAAGGAAATGGAAACATCATATCACTTCTCATATCAAAAATCACTTCTCATATTAAGATTTATTTAACTTTATTAGCTGCCTGGATAGGTAATGTGTATCTCACACAAAATACCTTTAGATATTAAAATTATCTTTAATGAGCAACTTCCCCCCCCCCACCCCCAGTATTACTCGCTTTTAATCAGAATGTGTGAGCAACTTTCTGTGGAGAATTTGTTTAACATTTTGTTATGGAAATTCTGATCCAAGCAAGACAACATAAGTGTTGCATTATATAAAGTTGCTACACAAGATCCGACCCATAGTGTCCTTATGCATAACAGAACGAAACACAGCCCTGTGATGAAAGTTATCAGAAATGAAATGGAACACATAAAGAGAGATGCTCTATGCATTGGTGAGATAAAATGGACTGGAATTGGCCATTTTGAATGAGAAAAGCATAAGATTTACTATGCTGGGGACAGCACAATCAAGAGGAATGGCATGGAATTCTTTGTCAAAAGGACATTGCAAAATCAATCATTAAGTACACTGCTGCCTGTGCTGG